GGTCTCGCCATGGTTGACCAAAGAAGTTGAGTGCACGTGCTTAGCGTCATATCCAGAGGTTGTGTTTGGGAAATAGACGTATGAGGGCTGCCAGCATTGCTGCAGAGGTTGAAGGGGTGGGGGACACTGCATCAAATTGGTCTGCATGGCTGTCGTCCCCGAAGGAAGCCTCTTCTAAAGGATCCTGGGCTGCAGGGCAGTATTCCAACCTGATAACGACCCCAAACACACCTCCAAGGCGACCACTGCCTTGCTAAAGAAGCTGAGGGTAAAGGTGATGGATTGGCCAAGCATGTCTCCAGACTTAAACCCTATTGAGCATCTGTGGAGGAGCGCACGGTCTCTAACATCCACCAGCTCTGTGCTGTCGTCATGGAGGAGTGGAAGAGGACTCCAGTGGCAACCTGTGAAGCTATGGTGAACTCCATGTCCAAGAGGGTTAAGGCAGTGCTGGAAAATAATGGTGGCCACACAGAATATTGACACTTTGGGCCCAATTTGGACATTTTCACTTAGGGGTGTACTCACTTTTGTGGCCAGCGGTTTAGACATTAATGGCTGTGTGTTGAGTTATTTTGAGGGGACAGCAAATTTACACTGTTATACAAGCTGTACACTCACTATTTTACATTGTAGCAAAGTGTTATTTCTTCAGTGTTGTCACATGAAAAGATATAATAAAATATTTACAAAAATGTGAGGGGTGTACTCACTTCTGTGAGATACTGTAGTTAGACTTTTTGACTTTTGCTCAGTGTATTTTCATAATTTAATACCCAGATTATCATAATTCATCACAAATAAACTGAAAGCACTTTATAAACCCACTGACAGGGAAGTGCTTTCACTGTAAGAACAGACATTTGCTCTGATTTGTGCAGCTTGAAAGTGGTAATAAATGTCTTCATGACAAACAGATGTGTGTTTGTTGATTAAGAGCAGATGAAATGAGGAATAAAAGTTTTAAATGGATTATATGAAGAATATATTGTATGTAATATAAATAAATAAATATTGTACAATAAAATATATATTTTTAAATAATGATTATTGTACGCATATATTTTTTCTAATGTGTATTTGCTGTTTTATTTTGTCTGGTTAATTTTTATTATGGTTCTTTCGTGTTGATATTTCTAAATCAAATATAATGCTGAAAAAATATTGTTGAATAATTATATTGATTTTATTAAATTGCATTTATACAGCCCTATATAATATAATATTGCTATATTTATTTAATTAAAATTATAAAATTATAATTATTTGTAAAAAATAATAATTCTATTATTTGAGTGCTTAATGTAAAATAATTTCGATTTTTAAATATGTTTTTAATATTTAATATCTTTGTTTAAATATTCATATTAAAAATATACATTAAAGAATTCATGTAGAATTTAACATTTATATACTACAGAGTTATTTTGTTACTTTTATAGAATGGTTATTTGGTTAACTTTTTTTGGTTGCTATTTCTTACAGAACTGGGCTTTATTTTACACAATTTGAGGTTTGTAAGTGTGGGATTGCAGATTTACTAAACTAACTTCTTATTCTTGCCCATACAAAAAGACAAACCCACTGAAGATTTTGACTTGTATCAAAGGCATAAATAATCTGACATCCTGTGATGTCTTTTCAGGAATAAAGCCATACCCCCCCTGCTAAGTGTGTGTGTGTGTGTGTGTGTGTGTCTTCGTGAACCCTTAAACCTACATTTTGAGGTAATCGATGATGTCTTAATGACCCACAGTGAATTCTGAAGCTGTTGTCTTCCTGTAAACACTGTAAACGTGTCTGTTAACTCACCCTGAGGCCTTCTGCTCTACAAACATTACAAGATAAAACGTTCCTCAAACCAGCCGTACTTGTTTCAGATGTTCAGAGTCTTACAATGAGACACTACAGCTCTGGTCAACAATCATTTGATTGCTCCGGTTTAAAGAGTAACTCTTCACCTCTCCAAAAGCTTTTCAAAGTAAAGGTGACTCTAGGGTCATTTATGGAGGTGAGGAGAAAAGAAAGGGTCAAACAAAGAGATGAAGTAAATACGTGTGATTGAGCGTGTGAGGGTTTTGTTGCAGATAAAAAGATAGAAAAGTCGCGTTTTTTTTTTTTTGTTTTACTTTAGTATATAAAATATATAAGTGAAATGGGCGATTTATTACATTGACAGATAGATTTAGTGGTCTTCTAGATCATCAGCAGCACGTGACAAAAACAGGACACGTACTAATATTTTTAACCAGGATTTTTCGCCATCTGCTGGTTATTATGAGAATCGCTACGGGTTTTCAGGCACTTCAAATAGAAAAAATAACACACACATTATACATAATTTATTGCCTGCATTATATGTTAAATTCTATCCACGGTATTACCATCTGATACATCATTACATCATAATAACTTTTTGTAAGGGGCTGAAAATATTACATCCCCCGTTTAAGAAAGTTTAATGCTCCGTTAAATAATTAATAAAGAAAAATATAAAAATACAAAGAGTGAGAGAGGACGTTTGGGGGTGTATTTAATAATTAATTAGGATCATAAAAAAAGATTATTAATAAATAAAAACAGAAATAATTAATGAGAGTAATAACATGAGATAAAAATGCAAAAATAAAGTCATTTATGAAAATGAATACAAACAGCATACGGAAAATATAGTCGTAGAACAAGAGAGAAGACGGATGTGTGTTTACTCTTCGTCACGCTGCTGAAAATATTGTTGAAAAAAAAATTTATATTATTAAATTACATATAATTACTTATATTAATATATGTATTTATTTAAAATTATTCAATTACATTAATATAATTGTTTGTAAACAAATAATAATTGTGTTATTTGATAGGGAGTGCTTAAGGTAAAATAATGTGGATTACAAAAACAATGTTAATTTATATCAAGATTTATATTTACAAACAGCATACGGAAAATATAGTCGTAGAACAAGAGAGAAGACGGATGTGTGTTTACTCTTCGTCACGCTGCTGAAAATATTGTTGAAAAAAAAATTTATATTATTAAATTACATATAATTACTTATATTAATATATGTATTTATTTAAAATTATTCAGTTACATTAATATAATTGTTTGTAAACAAATAATAATTGTGTTATTTGATAGGGAGTGCTTAAGGTAAAATAATGTGGATTACAAAAACAATGTTAATTTATATCAAGATTTATATTGTTTTTATTTAAAGGGGTCCTATTATGCTCTTTTACAAAGTCTTGATTTTGTTTTGGGGGTGTACTAGAACAGGCTCTCATACTAGGTTGTTCGAAAAACACATTATTTTCCACATATTTACACATATTTTACCACTCTCCCCAGTCTGGCAGGAATGGCTCGAATAGTTCCTGTATCACATGAAGCCTTCTGAAATACGAAATGTGCTGTGATCGGTCAGCTGGGCTATCAATTTGAGCATGATTTAAACCCGGATGATTGTAACCACTCTAAGTTCGTCTGCCTTGGGAAAGCTAGCATGTCTCCATCTTAGTGATAACACTCGCTGCCTTCACTAGTGCAGCTCAACCAGGTCTCGTCCCATTTGTCGGTATTTGTGATATCACAAATCCCAGAAAATATGCGTTGTAGTCCAAACGAGTCGTTCGTTGTAGTGTTTGAAAAGTGATTTCTGTTACATAAAATATCTTTGAGCTTTGAGCTTTGTAACTTCGCAGATCTTTTTTATGCTCAAACAGCAACATTACAGACTAACTAAAGTTGAAAAAGGGAAAAAGCATAATAGAGTTACATTTAAATTTTGCTTTTAAAAAATATTCTTTAAAGAATAATGTTGTTATATAGTTATAGTTATAGAAATTGTAAAATATTATATCGCTTTTATAAAATGGTTATTTGGTATATCTTCCAAATTTGGCACTTTTGGTTGCTATTTCTGACCAAATTGGACTTTATTTTTCATAGTTTGAGGTTTGTTTGTGAGTGTGGGATTGCAGATTAAATATAAAAAAATAAAACTAGAAAGAGTTCTCTTTTAACTTGAAAGTTTGTGGGCTGTATAATAAATAACTAATGGGTATAATAAAATGGGATAAAAATACGATAATAAATGAATTTATAAAACTGAATATAAATATTTTTAATGGAAAATATAGTCACAGAACAAGAAAAAAAAAAAGAAGCGTGTGTTTGGTTTTCGTCACGCTGCTGTCATGTGACGGTCATGTGACCCCAGCTCACTTCCGGCTCTGCGTGGAAGAGGAAGAAAAGTTGCACGTCAGGAGTAAAAAAGTTTTTTTCTTTCGATCCATTCAGTGCAAAGTAGAAACGCAACATCGTTAAAGCACATCTGCGTTTATCGGAGGATAAATAAGGTTGCGGTGCAGTTGTGATCAGTGTGAATCGGGGTAAATGCTCGGGATGTCCGCCAACAGTGTGTCGTATAACGAGCAGGGCTCGGTGGAGTCCGGTGTGGACGCGGCGCAGGAGAACAGCAGCATCCCCGCGAGCATCAGCAGCGGCGGGGCCGCCTCCAGCCTCTTCAGCGCCGACTACAAGAAGTAAGGAACCCGGAACACACGCTCACATGATCTTTATTTACTATGCGTTTCAGTCAGTGGTTACTGTGTGAGAAGTGTAGTTCTAGCATATGAAGAAGAATGTTTCTGTGCGTGTTTGGGTGCCAGGTGATGCCCTGTCCTGTGTGGTACTAGAGTATAGCTTGATGGGACACGCCTCCTTTTTGTGAGCTGCTAATTTGGGCTGTTAAACATACTGTGGGTTGGAACTATTATACTTCATTTGCAAGTTCAACTGCCTGTGTAATATTTGCATGGAGAGAAGATTAAGCAGCCTCACAGAGTTCTTACTTAAAGGCCAGTGTGAGAGAGTTTTGGGGCAGTTCACAGATTTGTCATTGTACATATGGCGATCAGCGTTGTGTTGTCACTCACAATTTTACATCTAAAAAATGCATATAAAATTGTATGTCTTGAGAACTTAAATGTTCGTTTTTCTGTCTCTTTGCAAAAGTTGTCACTAAGATATTGTCTGCCTGCCTGACTGACATCATTTGGTTTTATGTCTTGTGTGAGGGTTTTGTAATAAGAATGTGATAAACCACAAACCAATCACTATTATTTTTTAAAAACATTGTTCGTCGCAAAAGTGTCTATGAATTTATGAAGTAATTTTTTTTATATAGGCCTATATAAATGCACCCACATATTACATTTAATATAAATATTTCCAGCAAAAGTATGCTTATGAGTTACATTATTTATATATAGCATATTTATCAGAGGATAAAATAAAGTTATAGCTAGATAGATAAATAGATACACACAATTTTTATATGAAAATCTAATTTGATTTAAATATGAAATATTTCTAGCAAAACTGGAGCTATATAATAACATTTATTTAATATGTATATAATAGTTAATTTAATATTTCTAATATTTAATATTTGTCTTTCTCTATATAATGTATATGTACTTAGATTGACTTCTTTAGAATGTTTTAGATTTAGAATATTTTATATATGGAAAAAATAGTTTTTAAAAAGAAAAAAAAAATGTAGCAAAAAAAAGAGAGAAAATGCAAATAAAAATATATATTACAATATAATATATTTAATTTAATTTCTAGCAAATAAAAATATATATTGCTAAAAAAAAACATAATTGTCTGGTGGTTCAGCTTTTTTAATCTTGTGTTGTCTTGCAATCTCGTGCCCTCCCTCTCCTCCAGGGGTCAGTATGCATGTAATATCAGAGACCCGTCTATCCTTTTGGTGCAGATATATCACATCAGTATTAGTGAAACTAGACCTGGGTCACTCTGGCTTCTAAATAACATTATTATTTAAGGTGTTTCATAAGGTGCTGCCTGGAACTCACAGGACTGATCTACACATTGCATTGTCTCTAGTGTTTATCTACTCAGCCTCAGTGTTTGTCTTCTCCAGACTCTTTGTGAAGGCTGTAGACTGGGCTGACGTCAAACCCTCATGTGCCCGTCCTGTGGGATCTTAACTCCATTTTGCTTTAAGGGATCTGTTCCAACAATTACAGTACTGAATGACAGGAAGTCTGTTGCTGCTTCCTACATTAATGAGCCTGTTAATGGTTTAATCTAATGGGACGTAAGAGAATCGTGTCATTTATTATGTGGCAAAAAGACTTCACTGCTGGTTGTTATTTATTTATTCGCTGGTACTAGATTGTATGGATTCCTTTCTGTTGTTAACAGAGTATTGTTTGTATATTATTTAATCTCTGCTTCTTGATTTCAAGATGCTGGTTTTCTCTTGTAGCTGATGGTGGTTTGTGTGTGTGTGTGTGTGTGTGGTTTTTGGTATGTTGATGGCTATAACGGAAGAATGGTTAATGTTATTTAGGCCTAACTGAATTGGCGCTCTCACATGACTGCAAACAGAAGACTGAACTCATGAGGAAGGAGAGAGATGCATACAAATGAGATGCAGGGATAGCAACACTGTTGGGATGGTTCACCAAAAAATGAAAATGATCATAATTTACTCACCTTCATATGTTGTGCCAAACCTGTATGACTTTCTTTCTTCTGTGGAACCAGCCACTGGATATATGTAACCCTGGACCACAAAAGCAGTCTTAAGTCGCTGGGGTATATTTGTAGCAATAGCCAAAAAAACATTGTATCGGTCAAAATGATTGATTTTTCTTTTATACCAAAAATCATTAGGATATTAAGTAAAGATCATGTTCCATAAAGATATTTTGTAAATTTCCTACCGTAAATATACTTTATTAACTTAATACAATTTTTGATTAGTTAAGAATAATCGGTTATCGGTATCGGCCAAAATTTTCATATCGGTGCATCCCTAATATATACATCTCAATTTAAACAAATTGTCCCGTATGACTGGTATCGTGGTCCAGGGTCACACATTAGAATAAAAATGTGATGATATAGATATTTGCACAGGTCTTTTTCATATTGTAACCTAGGGCTGCACGATTAATCAAATGTGATTGTCATGCGCATTTTGATAGTAATGCCGGTTCTGTAATCAGCAGGAAATCATCATCACGTGCTTTCAGATGGAGCAGAATTTACTACACATAGCCGTAGTTCACTGACAAGCTACGCAAAAAAATCGCAGACGATTTTATTTCACGATTCTGAAATCGTTCGCGATAATGACAGCTGTTTGCATAGCTTCTCCGTGAACTACGGCTCTGTGAAGTAAATGCTGCTTCATCTGAAAGCATGTGAAAATACCACATTTAATAACATATTTTTACTCCAAACTCACTTCATAACGCCAGTCGAGTGTTTGAAATAAATCCTTCTGTGAGATGATGTGGCTTCTTACACAGAATAAGGCAATCAACATATTTCATAGTATTTAAGCAGTGATAAAGGCATTGCATTATAAATATACTTTATTTGAATGAAAATTATAATAATAAGAACTCAGATAAACCGTATATTGCCGTAGTCGTGTGTTTATTAGTCACGTTGAATCAATGAAAGCAGCTGAATCTTCTGTTTATTCAGCTGCAGGCATTTTCTGGGTTTCTTCTGCGAGGCGTATTTGGAGTTTCGGCGTGAGAGCGCCCTCTGGCCTTTGGATGGAGATTTACTGCTGATCACAGAACAGTGCTTCACTGAAAGATATGCATGACAATCACAGCTTCTGTCGAATCGCGATCTCAATTCCATTTCGATTTATCGTGCAGCCCTATTGTAACCTACATTGTAAAAGTAGTCCATACAACTGTTGCACTGTACTTCAAGTCGTAGTCATAATAGCGTTGTGTGATTAACAAATCAAAATTTAAGTCATTTTTCACTGACAGTCTTCCTCTCCTGTGAGCTGTTAATTCAAGAACCTGTTTAGTGAGTCATTGAGTTGAACTAATTCATAAACAAATCATATTGATTCATGAACTAATTACTCAGTCCAGTTTGTGAACTAGATCAAGATCATTCCCTTTTATTCATGAGAACCAGCTCAAAGCAATTATTTGTTCACTTCTATTCTCTAGTTCAACTCATTGATTAATTTGTGTAATTTGCAGTTCAAGTTAATAGCTCACTGGAGGGTGATTTATTTATTTTTTCATCAAATAACAACTTAAATTATTTTGGTCCATTCCTCTTAGAAACCTTTGCAGAATATGGCTCAAAATATAGCACATGAGTGATATGAGCTACTTTCATGAGTTAGTGATTTGAACATTAATTCATGAACGAATCATGAAATCCAATTTGTGAACTAGCTCAAACCCCTTTCATCTTTTAAAAGCCTGCTCAAAATAATGACTTATTCACTGCTTCTGTTCTGTGGTTCAACTCATTGAATGACATTGAATTCACTGAGTCATTTGCAGTGATTCTTGAGTTAATAGAAGATGCAAATGACCATTTAAGTTTCAGTCAGTTTCTCTCTGAAAGCTGTCGTATGATTTCAGAAGCCTTATATAAATATAGACCATGAGTCATATGGACTACTTTCATTCAAAAACCTGCGGTAAACTCGATTAATCCCTTTCATTGATAAGAACATAAAATAATGATTTGTTAAAGGTGGGGTAAGCGATTTTTCAAAAACGCTTTAGAAAACTGATTCGGGCCAAATAGCAAAACAAACTTTTAGCCAATCAGCAGTAAGGGGCGTGTCTACTCATGATGTGGAGGAGAGAGGGTTCAGTGCACAGGACGGACATTAGCCGAGCCAAGCGACAGAAAGATAGAGATGGCGGATAAAAAAACAAAAGAGGAAAATGTCTGCGGAACAAAAGAAGGCTTAAGGCAAGAAGTAGGACCCGTGCAAATATCGGATCAGCTTTCCAGCGCTGGAGAAAACTCAAGGAGCGGAAGGCCTGCGATCGTACGCCGAGGTTGCTTTGTTTCTTCTCAATAGGCGAGTAACACCGTGTCTGTGCCGCAACAGCTAAAGTCTGTCTAGTACACTGGACGCGACAAAGTGACCGTTGAAAATCATTAGAAATTTGTGTCAATATGTGTCAGCAGCAGTTTTCTGTCGGGGATTTGTCATGTCATGTGTTAACTTAATGATTGCTATCGGGATGTGAAGAGACTTTCAACCAGCATAACAAAAAATTTTTCTGTTTCAGCATTAACTACACAGAGTCATTGTTCACTGATGAGCTGCGCAAAAAATCGCGCGAATATGAACGTGGTTTTGCGCAGCTCGTCAGTGAACAACGGCTCTGTATAGTTAATGCTGCTCAATGTGAAAGCACGCACGTGATGGAGATTTACCGCTTATAACAGAACCAGCTTTTTGACAAGATGTGCATTAAATATCACATGCGATTTATCGTGCAGCCCTAGGCGAGACCCTTTTGGGGTAGGGGCGTGTTTGTTTTGGTGATTTCAAATGTCAACATTGGCTACCAGAAATTGCTTACCCCACCTTTTCTGCTCCAGTTTGCAGGTTAAACTCATTGATTCAGTGATTCAGTTGCAGCAGTTTTGGAATCAACAGCTCACTAGAAGTTGTATGGACTACTTTTGTGGTGCCTTTTTTGCAGCTTTAAAGCCAGTATTCACTATGAACTGTAAAAAGAGCCAGAAGCATTGTTTTGTGTTCCACATAATGAACAACATTTGAGTGATTATTGTTCATTCCGACAGATTCAATCCAACATTTTCAACCAGCGTAAAGCGCATTCGCCTGACCATGTTTGCAAAAATGTTCTTCCTGTTCCTACCTCCGGGTTACTATTTGGGTTTGAATTTTGTTTCAGACTTGTTATATTTTGTTGCCTTGGTTGGCTGGAGGAAGTTTCACGTTATCAGGAAAAGCAGAGCTGCCGTGAACAACGAACACAAGCGAAGAACGCGGTTCTGCGGAGGTGATGAAAGCCTCGGTCTGAAGATAAGAGCTTTTACGCTTCCTCTAAAGGGAGGTGGCCACAGCCACGAAGAATTACCACGTCTGGAGTGGATATGAGTCGCCTCAGCACTTTAGATGGTGCTCTTTTGACCTCAATGGACTTCCTTTCCGTTTTACCCACTTCCTTCATTGGATACAAGTCGCAACCGACACTCAAAGGAATGCAGCTTGCAAGCTTTGGATCTTCTGAGGTTGAGCATCTCTCAACCTAATTGATACCCGATTCTCTAATGGAGAATCAAAAGCGAGAAGTTTCTTTGGCCAACTGACCGGATATCAGCAGAACGTTGAAGGAAATGAAGGGAATTCAGCCTTCTGTCCATGATAAGAGTGAACCATTGTACCCTCGCTGGTCTCTCAGTGCTCATGGATCTAATTGGTGTGTGATGGTCACACTGGATGGTTGTGCGACTGCTGCACATGGCCATTAACCAGATGATCGAGTCAGGAGGATAGTGCTGTCTTGTACCTCTCTGGTCTTCTCGACAGCATCGGTGGAAGGAAAGAAACCAGTAGACATTGGCTTTCATTCCCTTCTTCGACCTCGTCTTTTTAGGTTGGTTTGGAGAAATGGATGATCTCATAATCGTGTTTGAATGGTTAAGCAAGATAAACAAGGCTTGAGGAACTTCTTGCAATGAATGGCTCTATGTAAGGCTTTGTATGGATCATCTTGACCTTCTCTACTGCTGTGGTTTGTGATTTTTAGTAATTCTGTACACGTGTAAAATGAACGTAGGATTGGGCAGCTTGCGTTTGGAGGCCGTCAGAGTGATGCGAAACGCTCTTGTTTCGGCCGAGAACCTTCAGCTCACACTGAAATCAGACTTCAGCTCGGAGGAGCAGGCTCTGACCAACAACCACAGCAGCGGTAATGAGGAGAAACCAAGCAGAGGGTAGGAGAAATGCTCAAGTAAAGCCAAGAAACCCCACTTTTTTTTGTTTTTCAACCACTTTGAAACAATGCATGTTTTGGAGATGGAAAAATTAGGCACGGATCTTTTTTTTTTTATTCTCACAGTGGTCTTATTCATTCGTTCATTCATTCAAACATGCACATGGTATGAACATCCTTATATTCCAGTTCTATTCCTTAAGCTTAAATAATAGCTCATCTATATCTCTGTGACATGATAGCAAACTATCTTCAAGTTGTCTGAAGAATGTGGCTCTCACATGATACGTATGTAAATGACAGCACTGTGCAGATAGAGGAATGATCAGCATTCGCTCAGAGTAATCTAATATGTCTGCGACTGTCTTCCATTAGCTTGAATTGAGATGATTTTTCCTGAATTCTGTGATTTTGGTGCTGTAGGCAAGGGATATTTGTCATTTTTGTCAGCCGAAACAACCTAAAGTATTTACTTGAATTACCTACTGAAATTTTAAGTCAATAATAAAGAAAAAAAAAACATTTGTATGTTCACAGTTCTCTGATGTCGGTTAATTGTAACATGACATGCAGGTAAAACAATCACCTGTTTTTTTTTTTATTTTGAAATTATATATGAATTACACAGTTTATAGTTTATTATAATATTTATATCATATAATAATATTTTATCTTATTTTCAATGTAGTTATATAAATGCAAATATACAACTATATAATATAAATAAATAGTTTATGTACAAAACTTTAATTATGTATAAATATACTATATATAATAAAATAATGTTTAATTCTAGAATTATTAAAATGTGTGTGTGTGTGTGTATGTATATATATATGGATAATGCAGATATTTTATTTTTAGATATTTTATATAATTTTCAATTTAGTTATAATATAATTGCAAATATATAATTATATAATATAAATATATAGTTTATAAACAAATATTTAATTATGTATAAATATGCCATTTATAATAAAATAATTGTTAATTCTAAAAATAGATTCTAAAATTAAATTAAATTATAAAAATGTGTGTATATATATGTGTGTTTGTGTATGTGGATAATACATATATTATTTTATTTTATATAACTTTCAATTTAGTTATAATGTAATTGCAAATATATAATTATATCATATAAATATATAGTTTATATTCAAATCTTTAATTATGTATCAATATACCATTTATAATAAAATTATTGTTAATTCTAAAAATAGATTCTAAAATTAAAATAAAATTATAAAAATGTGTGTGTGTGTGGATAATATGTGGATAATACAGATATTATTTTATTTTTATTTCATTTACAATAAAAGAACTGAAGCTGTTAACTAAGAGTGAATAATAATAAATTACTGGCATAGAATTTGGAGTGAATTGACAGCCCTACTTTTATTTGAAGTAAAACTATATGGTTAGCATGGTGAATTTGCTGTAATGCTGAGTCCTTGGTTTCTCTGCAGGAATGAAGATCTGAAAGAGATGCTGGAAAGCAACAAAGAGTCTCTGAAGCTGGAGGCCATGAAGAGGATAGTTGGGGTATGTCATTCTGAGAGACAGTGACCTGGTATTAAAGGGATAGTTCACCCAAAAATTTAAAATGAGGGTAACCAAACATTTACTGGTCCCAATGACTTCCGTAGTATATTTTCTTTCTATATTATGGAAGTAAATGCGAACCAACAACTGTTTGGTTTCCAACATTCTTCAAAATAAATTTTTTTGATGTTCAACAGAAGAAATTAATTCATACAGGTTTGGAACGACTTGAGGGTGAGTGAATGACAATTTTTATTTTTGGCTGAAGTAACTATCCCTTTAAGATTTAGTCTCTGATTTTATGAATACATTCACTCAGCATCAGTGTGTTGCTTCATTCTGTCTCATTAACATATTTATGTCTCTCTATATAGTTGATTGCCAAGGGAAAGAATGCTTCTGAACTTTTCCCAGCAGTGGTGAAGAACGTTGCAAGTAAAAACATTGAGGTAAGAAATTATATAAAAAGCGCTGACATGCTCAAATGAGTTTTCCTCACTGCGCTTTTTGCTTTGATTTGAGAGTGAAAATCGACTCCTGAACACAGGCGTTCGGCAGCTGTGAGGACCCCTGTAGATGGCGCTTATTTTTGATCGGGCATCTGACAGGGAAGCCCTTGTTGCTTAAGAATGAATGTTTGGATGGAAAGAAGATTGTCTGGACAGACTGATGGAAAGACATGAGAAGTGTTTGGGAAAAACGTCCTGACTGAAGAAGACGGCTGGTGTTTTGAGGGGCCAGTGTGTAATTGGTAGTCCAAGGATCCAGTCACGTTCTCTCTGTCATCCCCCCACGTCTGATGCTCCGTACTGGGCAGCTGTGTACTGAACGCTGTTGCTCTCTGGAGCTCAGAGACGTGGGGATGCTGCCATTGATCCACACACACACACACACACACACACACACAAACAAGACCACAGGTGTGACCATTGATCCACTCACTGCAGGGTCATACACGCATGCACACACACACACACACACACACACACAAACACTCATGTATTTGACCCTTCAGTAAGCTCCGTCCCTCCTTGGTTATATTATTATTATTATTATATTTTTTTAACTTTATATTATGTTTACTTTTTAAATCATTTTGCTATTTTGTCTTTTTAAATTATGCAGTAACATTGAAAAATTTGATGCCATGGACCCCCACAAAGGTTAAGGGATTTTCTTTTATTTTTGTTGTGGTTTATTTATTTATTTGTTTATTTATTTATTTATGTCTATATTGTTTTGATTGATATTTTATTTCAGCTTGTGTTTTAGTTATTTTAGTATATCAAGTTAATCTAAATAAAAATGTTGACCAATTAGCTTAAAATAATTTTGTACAAATATTTTATAATAATATAATATTTTAATAACAAAATAGTTTGTTATTTTATAATGGTTTTAGTTTTAGTTTACTATAATAACCCTGCCTAAACTATAAATAACATAACAAATAAAACATATAAATAACATTATAAGTGTTTATTATATACATATGTATATATATATATATATATATATATATATATATAGTAATAATGAAAGTCTTTTTTTATTATTTAAATGTATTCTTTTATGGCATTTTATTTTCATTTTTAATTTACTTTTATTTTAATTTATTGCTTTTATTTTTACTTTATTTAATGTATGTATTTTATAATATTTATATAATTAATTGTTTTATTTATTTTCGGGTGGATCCTCTTGAGGCCCTTGAAATTCTGTTTAATCCACAGAGTGCATGTTTTATGATCTAATTTAAAGCACTATGGCTTGTTTTTGGGTTATTTGTGCCCTATTATAAATAACCCAGCAACAACAATCTTGCATGAAAAAAGCAATCCCTCTCTCTATCAGGTTTGTTTTTCTGTTCCTCATATAATTCTGCTTCATAAATGCCAGCGGTTCATTTAGTCGCTGTCTAATTAACATGCGCACGGCTGCTCCAATTCCTGATCAGCAGGCCACTGTATGTAAATGTGATTAACCAGAGGGGCAGATGGGTAATGTCTCTCTTTATGAAGTGAGTGATGTTTTTCCATTTGGCTGGTAATCGCCGTGGTGATGATGATGGAATGCGTCGTCGTGACTCCCTGATCGCTAATGACCTCTCGTCACCCCAAGAGCTGGACGCAATTATACGGAGAGCCGACCTTTGACACTTCACCTTTGAGCACAAGCTGATCAGACTGTCTCATGATAGACTCGGAGATATTAAGATGGCAAATGAGTTTGTTAAAGCTGGGATCGGATGATGATTGTTTATCTACTTCTTTAAGTTATCTGTGTTTCTGTAGGAAAAGCAAATTAACCCAGAATAATGATGAAGAACTGGACAGTTTTGAATGTTTAGTTAATTTGTGTATGCATGTTTTAGCTGAAGAAGCTGGTGTACGTGTACCTCGTCCGGTACGCAGAGGAACAGCAGGATCTCGCCCTCCTGTCAATCAGCACCTTTCAGCGGGCACTCAAGGTAAGTCCCGCCCCTTTCCTATCCCATGATGCTCTTTTTGTGCTTTACATCAGTGTTTCTCAACCAGGGGTCCATGGACCCCTAGTGGTCTTTGACGTAAGGCTAGGGGGTCTGTATAAAGTATGAATTTTTGTATAAATTTTATACAAATTATAAATTTTGTCATGACATGTTTCCATGAAAGAAAAATCCAATATAGCTGTCTGATGATATGGCCAAATACTAGACCAGTCAACTAACTTGAGTAATACTTGACTGCATTTGGTCCTCACAAAGACACAAACGATACATAGATGAGTCAATTTTGTTCTGGGGGTCCTTGAGGATGGTTCTGAATTGGACTGGGGTCCGGTAAACCAAAAGGTTGAGATTCACTGCTTTACATGATGCATGATTCATCAAAATAAAACCAAAATTCTGATTTGGCTTTGTCCGATTATCAAATCACAAAGGCTGCAATTCAGTTAAATAAATACACTGCACTTTTCTGTCAAAATAAAGTTTCATGGTTTGATGTTTGAGAATGAAGAAATGAAAACAGCCGTAATTGTTAGTATTGTAATTTTACAGTTGTACTGTCAAACAAATTGTTATTATTATTATCTTTTTATTTCATTTATTTAGTAATTTTTTATATTTTTACTTTAACCATATTTTATTTCAGCGTTGTGTTTTAAAAACACAAAAAGGGCTTCCACCAATATGCAAGTTTAATGGTTTAACATTTGTAAATGAAGAAATTAAGACACCATAAATATTAGTATTTTAATTTTACAGTTGTAATGTAATGTGAAATAAAATTCTTCTTCTTGCATAGTTTTTGTTAAATACACAATTTTTATTTTAGTGTTAATATATTATATATAGTAAAATATTTATATAGAATATACAGTAAAGCATTTTATTAATATAATATATAGTATAGTAGTAATAGTCATTTTTATTTAGTAATAATAACAACAACAACAATATTAATAGTCATTATTTTTATTATTATTATTATACAGCCATATTAATAGATAATCACAAATTTTGCTGCCCTACAAATAAGCATAGCAAATCTTGAATTTCTTTAATCACATTTTAAATGGCAAGTTTTTTCAGAAAAATCGTGCAGCCCTTGTCTCCTCCCATTTTTCTCCGGCCTTTTGTGCATGAATGTTTTGCCTGTATTTTGGATCAGCTAACACTCAGCTTACACATGTTTTTTTTAATCATTGTTGTGTGTGCAGGATCCCAATCAGCTGATCAGAGCGAGCGCTCTCAGGGTCCTGTCCAGCATCAGAGTTCCCATCATCGTGCCCATCATGATGCTGGCCATCAAAGAAGCAGCCACCGACCTTTCACCTTACGTCCGGAAAACTGCCGCTCACGCCATTCAGAAACTCTTCAGGTAATACACGCATTCACACAGATGTGGCCGCTGAATGTTAACAAACGAGTGTTTGACAGAGGTCTCTGATTTTGTCTTCCAGTCTGGACCCGGATCAGAAAGAGCATCTGATCGAAGTGATTGAGAAACTCCTGAAAGACAAAAGCACGGTAAAATATCGTGACATTCACACAAACATGACCAGTTTTATCATTCTGTGTCTATTACTATCATTAAACTACCATCGAAATGTTGTTAAGTGATTAAAATGCTCAACAAATAATTAAAATTGAATAGAATTAAATGGTCCGTTTTCAAACTGGAAACAAAATGCATGTTTACTATATGAAATGTTTTTTCTTTTAAGTCTTTGTTAGCATATATTGCACTGAATAGGGTTAACTTCAATCATATTATTCTAAAAATATTTTAAATTAATAATTAAAAAGAACATATTTTTTCTATTATTTTTCTAGTTTTGAGTTTGTTTGGAAAGTTGTTTATTTATAGTTAAATAAAAGCATAAAAATGTTACTTAAAAATAAAATTAACTTAAACTGAAATAAAATAAAATAAAATGTAAAAAAGCAAAATAAAGCTAGTTGCCACAAGGAGCCAATAAAGTAAATAAAAGCAATAAAGTCAAATAAAAGTAATGCAATGAAAGACTACATTAAAAGTAATTAAATTATTCAATTAAAATGATTTCATTCTGCTTCTAAACACTGGTGAGAAATTAAATGAATCAATGCATGGGATTAAAATAAATTGTAATTTTTTTTTATCTGTCCTGTGCAATATTGCAAAACATTGCAATGGCTTACAAAGCTCTAGCAGTGTGCAACTGACTGGTTTTTACAATCTGACCAGCTATATTCTAAAAAGCTGTTTTGACACAAAGTGTATTATAAATATACAAATGAGTTGAATTGAATTAAACTAATCAAGTTTAATGCATTGTCTAACATTAACTTAAATGTACAGCATGCAACCACCAGATGGCGCAACAACACCACATTCATTTCTATAACACTTCTGGCAGTAAAATAAACACTTTCTGAGCTCAAAACATTTCCACCAGGGCCTTGGACAAAGTCTCAGCAGCAAATTATCTTAACACGTATCCGCTGGACTTGGTCATTGTTGCTGGCCTCAAATTTGAGTTATGTATCTGGGATTTCTGCTCACGTTGTCATATTTTTTTTAGTGCCGTCCTCATAGGCTTTTAGCGCAGAGCTGTATTTCACCTGTAGAGCTTCCCGAATATGCACTGGAAATGTTTATTGTGACATAATAGACATCTCTACGAGCTTCCCCTGTACGCTGCTAAAGGAAATTCACTGGGATGTGTTGCCGTTGATGAAATATGAGCGTGTGTGTGTCTTCAGTCTGACCGGCAAGCACAGCATCAATCACAGCCGCGTCGTTCCAGCATCTCTCGCTATCTCTCCTCGCTCGCTGATGACCCAGCATTCCCTGTTTCCTCTCCCGTCAGTGCGGCCCGGCCTTAATTAGAATTCATGACAAAATGGATCCAGGGAAACGTCCTGTACCCTTCATAATTTTACAGGAAATTTATTGTTATTAGAGAAACCATTTGCTTAGTGTGATTTTTCCATTAAGGTGTTGTCAAGCAGCAGAGATAGCAGAGGTTTGTTGATGAGGTGTGTGTAAGTAAGAGCGTTGTTGATGGTGGATGGAGTTTACCTTGGAGCTCTTGTTGAGTAATATGGGAACAGCAAGATGGGGAGACGCTAAAGATGAACGGTAAATAGAATAAATCCAAAGATGGACCAAAAATATAAAAGTAAACACAAGAAATTACGATTGTTAAAAGACTTTTGACTGCCTTGCGTTTTCCATAAACGTTTCTACATAATTTGGATTACTCATATTAGGTAATGTAGTCTGACTACTTTTTGATGACTTTTTACCTAACTCATTAATCACATAGACTTGAATGGGATTATTGTGTACAATATTGATTAATAGTACACAATTGATATTTATTAACATTTTATAGTAGTGGAAAGAAGAATTAAAAATTAAAATAAATTACAAATAAAATAAGAAAAATGTACTGTATATAGATTAGATTGAGATTATTTGTGTGTGTATACAATATTGTATTTGTTATATAAATTGATATAAATATATGTATATAAAAAAAGAATATAAAAAATTAAATTCAATATGTATATTATACATTAGATAAATATAAAAGTATACATTATATATAATAATAACTTTAAAATAATTTATTTGTAAATTGTTTATCAGAACAATTATATATGTATATAATACTTCATATACACACATGTGTATATGTATGTATGTATGTATTTGTTGTGTATGAATTGCAAATTTACTCAAATTATGTTTCTCCTGAGAATATGAATATATATATATATACAGTGGGGCAAAAAAGTATTTAGTCAGCCACCAATTGTGCAAGTTCTCCCACTTAAAAAGATGAGAGAGGCCTGTAATTTTCATCATAGGTATACCTCAACTATGAGAGACAAAATGAGAAAAAAAATCCAGAAAATCACATTGTAGGATTTTTAAAGAATTAATTGGTAAATTCCTCGGTAAAATAAGTATTTGGTCACCTACAAACAAGCAAGATTTCTGGCTCTCACAGACCTGTAACTTCTTCTTTAAGAGGCTCCTCTGTCCTCCACTGGTTACCTGTATTAATGGCATCTGTTTGAACTTGTTATCAGTATAAAAGACACCTGTCCACAACCTCAAACAGTCACACTCCAAACTCCACCATGGCCAAGACCAAAGAGCTGTCAAAGGACACCAGAAACAAAATTGTAGACCTGCACCAGGATGGGAAGACTGAATCTGCAATAGGTAAGCAGCTTGGTGTGAAGAAATCAACTGTGGGAGCAATTATTAGAAAATGAAAGACATACAAGACCACTGATAATCTCCCTCGATCTGGGGCTCCACACAAGATCTCACCCCGTGGGGTCAAAATGATCACAAGAACTGTGAGCAAAAATCCCAGAACCACACGGGGGGACCTAGTGAATGACCTGCAGAGAGCTGGGACCAAAGTAACAAAGGCTACCATCAGTAACACACTGCACCGCCAGGGACTCAAATCCTGCAGTGACAGACGTGTCCCCCTGCTTAAGCCAGTACATGTCCAGGCCCGTCTGAAGTATGCTAGAGAGCATTTGGATGATCCAGAAGAGGATTGGGAGAATGTCATATGGGCAGATGAAACCAAAATAGAACTTTGTAGCGAATTTAACTCATGGGGAAATATGAATAATTAACCATAACTAATTATGATTAATTATTAATATTTTAGATCCACTGTAGATATTTAGCTGACCACTCAGGGTCAACCGTCTTGTCAATTTTATTTATATAAAAAATATATATATAATTTTCTCAATTCACCTGCCACTGGCCGATGTGGCAAAAAGTTAATTTTGCACCCTTTTTGTAAGTGACCAGTTACATGTAATTTTCTTCCTCCGAGCTGGAACTGAAGTCACATGATGATGAATGAAGCACCTGACCTGCTCAAACTCTCTCTGTGTTGTTTTCACACACTCTCTCTCATATACTGTAGTTCATTAGTCTAAAGTGAGAGTGGTGTGTTATATTAGCTTGGTGGGAAGCAGAACAGGTTGTCATCTTCCAAGCATCTGTTTGTTTTGAGACCACACCGAGGTTTGTAATTACGAAGCATATATAACCTAATCAGCTTAATTTGCAATTATAAACCTCCAGCACAACTTTAGGGTTGCTGCAGGAGAAGTGGGTGAGTGATAATTGCCCAGAAACTGTAGAGGTGTGTGTGTGTGTGTGTGTGTGTGTGTGTGTGTGTGTGCAGCATGTGTTTGTGTGTGTCTGCACAGTTTTATAACTTTAGACAAAGTGTAATAGTGAATGTGTACAGATGCTTATGTTCTTCTTTTTATGTTTGTGCAAATGTAATATTTATTTATAGCGAGGTTCAATTAGGTAGAATTATAATACAATACCAGCCAATATTCAAACCTACACTTTCCACATGAGTACCGAAGCATAAAACTAATATGTGTGTGTGTGTGTGTATATATATATATATATATATATATATATATATATATATATGTATATGTATGCACATGCACTAACCACTCAGATTTAAATGTTACATTCTTACTTTCTTGGTTTTTAATTTTTGTGTTTGTTTATACACTGTTATTTGTGTTTATCTCAGATAAATCAATATAATTTAAACATTGTTTCTCTAATGATCTCTAATGGATTGTTTGAATCACTGGTCTGTTGGTTTGTCATTCAGGTGCACAAATATTTATGGGTAGTTTGGGTTTTTAGTGGATCATTGTTAATTGCTGCTTGAACATTTCATAACCGTTTAATTCTCTTATAAATTATTATCGGGTCTAAAAACTCAAAATGTCTGATATTGTGCAAATTGGGATTATTTTTTCTTACCTGAACTATTGAATTATTGAAAATGTAATTTAATTAGTCCAGAATAACTCAATAGCCCAGAATCATTTATTTCACTGATACCATATTTATTATTGTGATATATTTATATGTATCATTATTTTTTATAAATCATATATATATATAGTTTTACTATAGGTTTTTTATTTTTATATATATATATATACTGTGTGTGTGTATGTGTATATATATATATATATATATATACAGTGGAGCAAAAAAGTATTTAGTCAGCCACCAATTGTGCAAGTTCTCCCACTTAAAAAGATGAGAGATGCCTGTAATTTTCATCATAGGTATACCTCAACTATGAGAGACAAAATGAGAAAAACATCTTTTCATCTTTTTAAGTGGGAGAACTTGCACAATTGGTGGCTGACTAAATACTTTTTTTCCCCACTGTATGTATATATATATATATATATTTATTTTATTTTCATTTTTAATTCTTTATATCTATATCTATTTTTTTGTTTTCAGAATTAAACTAATATTCAGAATTAGTTGATTGACACCCCTGGAATCTGTAACAACCAATCAAAATGAAGAACTCTAAACCTAATTTTACTAGTGTACCACAGAGTGAAAAAACACTTCAAACTGATGTAGAATTTCTGAAAGGCTTCTAACAGGTGGCTAAGTTGTAAACCCTGCTGTTTGTCATGTGTTGTTTGTAGCTGGTTGCCGGCAGCGTGGTGATGGCGTTTGAGGAGGTCTGTCCGGACCGGATCGACCTGATCCATAAGAACTATCGGAAGCTGTGTAACCTGCTGGTGGACGTGGAGGAGTGGGGTCAGGTGGTCATCATACACATGCTGACCCGATACGCCAGGACGCAGTTTGTCAGCCCATGGAGAGAGGTGAGTTACTGTCTGTGTGCTTAAGCACAGATAGTATTTCATTATTATTTTACATATTTTTAAAGCTCAGCTATCAAGATTAGTGGTTTCATTTGAACACAAAATTGCTGCTTGAAATTGACTGATCTTATTTTCATTTTTATTTTTTTTTTCAATGCTAGCATTGAGGGTTTCAGGTAGGATGGAGGGATTGAGAGGACTATATATTGTAACTCTGACTGCAGTGATTGTTTCACAAGAGAAATTTGCTGATTAAAAGTTCCTTTTAATCATTTTAAGAGTTGGTTTAATTTAAATTTAATTTAAATCTCTGCATTTTTTTAGATGTTTTTATTCATTAATTGTATGTGTGATTGTAGGACGCCGTGTTTGACGAGAACAGTGAGAAAGCATTTTATGATTCAGAGGAGGAAAGGAGAGTGGACCAGTCCAAACCGTACATCATGGATCCAGACCACAGACTCCTGCTCAGAAACACTAAACCACTGTTACAGAGCAGAAACACCGCAGTGAGTGCGCACACACACACACACACACACACACACACACACTCAGCCCTCTGTTTCTGTTTAAAGGAATATTCTTGGACCAAATCTGTCATAATAAAAACAGTAATTATATTAAGTAACTTCTGCCATTTTAAATATAGACACAGCAATATGAATTATTATGATTATATCAATATTTTCATTTCAAAAGTTAATATAGTAATATGTTTATAATGTTTATTATTTATTAATGATTAAAGTATTATTTAAATTGTTTTACATTATTATTATTAGTAGTAGTATTATTATTAATACAGATATATTAATCTATTACATTTATTATAGGCATAATTATATATAATCAGAGCATAATTATGTAACAAAAAATTGTATAGCAAATATTAGTAAAGCGGCATGTATAATCAATAATAAACATTTTTGCCATTTTGAATATTTATAAAATAATATTAATTGTTTCATATTCTTGTATCAATATTAGTTAAAATAAATAATAATAATTATTATTATTAAGATATAGGAATTTAATATAGTTGAGCATGAGCATTTGTATATTAAATATTAATGTCAAATATTGTAAATGTAAGAATTCTAAATGGTAATATTATTACATTATATGATGCAATTGATAATTATGTATAAGCAGTTATTTTATTATTTAGGCCATATCTCCTGTTTCGCTTCTCACAGGATAGATAAAGCTTTAAGATAGATACACTTTTAGTCAGTCATTGCTGACTTAATTCCTGTAGGTAAGGTTGAAGACAGTTTTCAGCCGATAGTTACATCCTTTCTTCTTTATTAATTCATATTTAATCTGTATTATTCCTTTAAGATGCTCACATATTTCCATTTCCCCACACATCTGAACTCTCCCGTTTTCTCTTTCTCCCTCTCTTATCGTTCCTGTTCAACTCTGAGCAATAGCGAAGGCCTTCAGGACGCACCTGAGTGTGTGTTTTGTGTTTAAGTGCGAGTGTGCGCGTGTTTGTACATCAGAATATTAGTGGGACCAAGGCTGTATCAGACCCAACTCCATCATGTTACACACACTCAGCCTTAGAAATGTGCTCAGAAAACGTTATTCCCTCCTACATCACACACACAGGGTGACTCAAGTGCTCCATCAACCTGGAAGCTCAAGGTCTGTGTGTATGTGTGTTTTTTGTAGTGTGTGTGTGATATGTTTTGATTAAAACTTGTCCTGCTTTGTTCTACACTCAGGCTGCACTCTGTCTTTATCAGCTCTCTCTCTCTCTCTCTGCTGCTCTAGCGGTTGATGTGTTGAAGTCTGCTGTCCTGTTCATATATTGGGGTCAAAGTAATTTGGGGAAGACAAAATCATTACATACATTGAAGGCTTCCTAATCTATCACCATCTATCTTTTTTCAACCTCGCTCAAACCCTCCTCTTCCTCTTTCTCTCACTTCACATGTCTCTGGGACTCTCCACCACGTCTTCCGTTAATCTGTCTCTTTCCCCTGTTGAAAAAAACAGCATATGCTGGTTAGGTATGTTTTGACGCTGGGATGCTGGTTTAAGCTGGTCCTTTGCTGGTTTATGCTGGTCCTTTGCCAGCACATGACCAGCATAAACCAGCAAAGGATCAGCTTAAACCAGCATCCCAGCGTCAAAACATACCAAACCAGCATATGCTGGTTTTTTCAACAGGGTCATGAGCTACTTTTAATGTCCACTCGTCTTTTTCTCACATTTCTCTCCCTTTGTAAAAACATACCATGGAAAAAACCATGATAATATCGTGTTTTAGTTTATTGATATTCTTTTAAGAACCTTACATTTAACATTGAAAGGCATAGCTCTTCATTTATAACAAGAATCATCTCTCTCTGTCAGGTCGTGATGGCAGTATCTCAGCTCTACTGGCATCTGTCTCCTAAACATGAACTTAGCATCATCACCAAGTCCCTGGTGAGGCTCTTGAGGAGCCACAGGTAACACATGCACACTATGAGATCATGAGATGGAGGTGGTATTACAATCAAATCTGTCAATCTAATTCCTGTTTTTGGTTTCACTCTCGGCTCATTTAGGGAAGTTCAGTACATCGTGTTGCAGAACATCGCCACTATGTCCATTCAGAGGAAGGTACAGACTCACTGAAACATTCATTCTGCTTTTCTCATGAAATCTGAACATGTTATGAACAATGTTAATGATTTAGAATCAGCTTGGCCTAAATGTGTCTACTTCGGGTGCTTATTCTGAGGTAAAACATGAGGTAAAATCGGAGGTAGACCTCAATTCTGAGAGAAATCATGAGGTAAAATATGAAGGAAATCTTAACAGTAAATTCTGAGGTAAAATCAGAGGTAGTCCTCAAATCTGAGGGAAATCATGGTTAAATATGAAGTAAATTGCAAGGTAAGATCTGAGGTAAACATGAGGTGAAATCAGAGGTAGGCCTCAATTCTGAGAGAATCATGAGGTAAAATATGAAGTAAATCTTACAGTAAATTCTGAGGTGAAATCAGAGGTAGGCCTCAATTCTGAGAGAAATCATGAGGTAAAATATGAAGTAAATCTTACAGTAAATTCTGAGGTAAAATCATGAGGTTAAATATGAAGTAAATCTTACAGTAAATTCTGAGGTAAAATCCGAGGTAGTCCTAAAATCTGAGGGAAATCATGAGGTTAAATATGAAGTCAATTGCAAGGTAATATCTGTGGTAAACATGAGGTGAAATCAGAGGTAGGCCTCAATTCTGAGAGAAATCATGAGGTATAATATGAAGTAAATCTTACAGTAAAATCAGAGGTAGTCCTCAAATCCGAGGGAAATCATGGTTAAATATGAAGTAAATTCTGAGGTAAAATCAGAGGTACTCCTCAAATCTGAGGGAAATCATGAAGTTAAATATGAAGTAAATCTTACAGTAAAATCAGAGGTAGTCCTCAAATCCGAGGGAAATCATGGTTAAATATGAAGTAAATTCTGAGGTAAAATCAGAGGTAGTCCTCAAATCTGAGGGAAATCATGAAGTTAAATATGAAGTAAATTGCAAGGTAAGATCTGAGGTAAACATGAGGTGAAATCAGAGGTAGGCCTCAATTCTGAGAGAAATCATGAGGTAAAATATGAAGTAAATCTTACAGTAAATTCTGAGGTAAAACCAGAGGTAGTCCTTAAATCTGAGGGAAATCATGAGGTTAAATATGAAGTAAATGGCAAGGTAAGATCTGAGGAAACATTGAGGTAAAATCAGAGTTGGGTCTTAATTTTGAGGGATATCATGAAGTAAAATATCAAATAAATCATAAGGTAAGATCTGAGGTAAACAATGATGTAAAACCAGAGGTAGGCCTCAAATCTGAGGGAAATCATGAGGTAAAATATGAAGTAAGTCTTACAATAAGTTCTGAGGTGAAATCAGAGGCTTCAATTATGTCTCAAGCAAATTGAGGGTAATATCTGACATAAACTGTGTGATATAAATCTAATGTATCTTTTGAGGTAAGCACTGAGTTAAAATCTGAGGTATAGGCCTAAATCAAGCCTAAAATAAACTGAGGTAGTGTCTGAGGAAAACCTTAAGGTAAAATCTGAAGTATTGGTTGAGGTAAACTAACTAAAAATTAGAGATATATATTTTTAAGTAAATTAGTGCCGTCTGAGGTAAATGCTAAAGGTAAAATCTGAATACAGCAGGTCTAAATTGAGTAGACTGAAAAATTATTTTAGATAAACCACGTGTTATTTCTGAGTAAAAAAAAAAACCCCAGAGGTATGCAGGTAAAAAGTGAGGGTAAATGGTAAACACTGATGTAGAATCTAAGGTAAAATCTGAGCTAAAGTCTTGAGGTAATGACTGCGGTTTTTAAACAAGAATCTAAAGTACTGCAATATGAGGTAGACCTGAGGTAATGTCTGTGGTGTTTTTTAGGGGATGTTTGAGCCCTTCATGAAGAGCTTCTATGTGAGGTCTACAGATGCAACACACATCAAAACACTCAAGGTAAAAACACTGTCTTACCTTCATGTGTCTTTTCTGCTTGCTTGCTGATGTTTTGTTGTTTATCTAAAGTTTTTTGCTTTTGTTTAAATCCTTCAGCTGGAGATTTTGACTAACCTGGCTAATGAAGCAAACATCTCCACCATACTGAGAGAATTCCAGGTAAAGTTTCATAGATTAAATTGAATCTGAGGGAGAAAAAAAACTCTTTAGATGAATCTTAAGATGAAGTTAAATACTGAATTCTGAATAATTCTATGATGCCTAAAAACCCTGTCTGGGTGGGCAGCTCACTAGGTTTAGAAACACAGCTGAGGAATAGCAGCTTTAAGTAGTTGTATGTGTGTTCCAGACGTATGTGAAGAGTCAGGATAAGGCGTTCGCAGCGGCCACCATCCAAGCCATCGGCTGTTGTGCCACTAACATCTCTGAGGTGACTGACACCTGCCTCAACGGCCTGGTCCTGCTGCTGTCCAACAGAGACGGTAATCACTCACATATTAAAGTTATCCTTTAGTTATTAGACGCAGTGCTTCTGGTTTCCTGCAGATGGCAATATGATGAAGTTCAATGTCTTGATCGTCAGTGACAAAACTGATGATGATACAGACAGAGCCATTATCACCACAGATGAAAAATGTGAATATTCTTTCTGACAAATGCATGTCATAGTCTCAATGATTCATAAAACTCCTCAAAGAACATGCTTTGAACTTTAAACAATATGATAAGTAATCAGTAATTTAGTTGATCTACAAGTTACATACAAACAAATTGCCAACAACACTTGCTGTTTAAAGTATAAAATTATATGCGTGTATAAAATATAAAATTATATATAAGCATTTACCTACAAAATGGATCACAAGGGCTTGATTTATCTGAATTGCCAGAATGAATCGATTCACTAAAATGACTCACTAAAGCTACATATAAGAGAAAACATTACATACAGGAGCATGTGTATTAATTCCGCACCTCAAAAATTTATTTAAGTTGCTGCTTAGTTACTCCTCAACACTTGTTACTACAGTTAGTTATTGTTACTACAGTAAAAACATAGTATATTGGATTATCAGTGCACTCTTAAAAACCTTTTCAAAAGGTACACTTTTGGACCTTTTGGTACTAATATGTACACTTTACGTACTAATATGTACCTTTAAGGTACCAATATGGACTCTTTAGGTACAAAGGTGTGCCTTTTGAAAAGGTACCGCCACAGTGACCACTTTTGTTCCTTTTTTTCCTGAGTGTCTATTCATGCATTTCTTCTCTTTGTAGAGACTGTTGTTGCAGAAAGCGTCGTAGTCATCAAGAAACTTCTGCAGACTCAGCCATCACAGCACAGTGACATCATCAAACACATGGCCAAACTCTTCGACAACATCACTGTGAGAGACGGGTTCAGTATTATACACAACTGTAATGTTATAGTGTGCAATTACAGTGTGATTCATATCAATTTAACACTTGATGTATTTGGTGAACATTGCCTCTTTAGGTCCCGATGGCAAGGGCCAGCATCCTGTGGCTGATGGGTGAATACTGTGAACACGTGCCTAAAATCGCCCCCGACGTCCTGCGAAAGATGGCCAAGACCTTCACCGATGAGGAGGACATTGTCAAACTTCAGATCGTCAACCTTGCTGCCAAACTCTACCTGACCAATTCCAAACAGGTAAAATCAAATCACACATTGAGCGGGGGAGTGTTTTGGCTGCGTTTTATCTCACTTTCTTTCTCTCATACAGACTAAATTGCTGACTCAATACATTTTGAACTTGGGCAAGTATGATCAGAACTATGACATCAGAGACCGAACACGGTTCATTCGTCAGCTGATTGTCCCAAACGAGAAGAGCGGAGCCCTGAGCAAGTACGCTCGCCGCATCCTGATGGCGCCCAAACCGGCTCCTGTCCTGCAGTCTGCCTTCAAAGGTAAAAATCTTGAGAAGTCATTTAAATTTCTATAGTAAATACAGTGCCCTCCACGAATAATTCACAAAGTTCTAACCTATCGTTGAAGTAAAATAATGGAAAGTGGGGGGAAAATCTCATTATGAAATAAACGTTTTTCTCTGGTTCACGTTGGCCACAATTATTGCAGCGTCCTTTTCTCAAGAAAACAGCTCTGAGTTTTCTCCTATAATGCCTGATGAGTTTGGAGGAACACTTGACAAGAGATCAGAGACCATTCCTTCAGATCCTTCAGATTCCCAGCTCCATGTTGGTGGTGCTTGTCTTCAGTTCACCACACTCATTTTCTATAGGGTTCAGGTCAGAGAACTGGGTTGGCCAGGGCAGAAGCTTCATTTTTTACTCCGTGACACATTTTTGTGTTGATTTTGATGTTTGTTTTTGGATCATTGTCCTGATGGAAGATCCAACCACAGAGGCAGTCAGGTTTAGATTTTTTACCTGTTGGTATTTGATAGAATCTATGATGCCACGTATCTGAACAAGATGTCCAGGACCTCGGTCAGAAAAATAGGCCCACAACATTAAAGATCCAGCAGTGTATTTAACTGTGGACATGGAGTACTTTTTATCTCTGTTTGCACTAAACCCAGCTGATGGGTTTGCTGCCAAAAAGCTCTTTTTTTAGTTTCATCTGACCGTAGAAGCCAGTCCCGTTTGAAGTTCCAGTCGTGTCCGACAACTGAATATGCTGTTTGATATTTTTTTTAGGCTTTCTGACCCCAAGACTCAACTAATCTCTGCAATTATCCAGCTGTGAACCAAAATCTCCTCCTCTCTGTGCATTAGGACGATATAGACACGCATCTTCTTCCAGGCAGATTTGTAACATCTTTAGTTGATTGGAACTTCTTAATTATTGCCCTGATGGTGAAAATTAGGATTTTCAATGCTTTAGCTCTTACAGCCACTTTCTATTTTGTGAAGCTCTACAATCTTGTTTTGCACACCAAAACTATATTCTTTGGTTTTACTCCTTGTGATGGATGATTAAGGAAATTGGCATTTGTGTTCCTCATATTTATAATCCTGTCATGCTCCTAGTCACCCTGGTGTGCTGCTAAAAAAAAAAAAGGAAATATGATTGGGAATATACTTCAGAGATATTTTACTCATAAGAATTTCTAGAGGTGCCAATAATTGGGGCCAACATGCATTGGAGAAAAACATTTGTTTCATAATGCGAGTTTCCCCCCAATTTCAATTGTTTTACTTCAATGAAAGGTTAGAATTTAGTGATTTTTTTTTTTTTAATGAAAGATCAAATTATAAACGATGCAGATTTATTTTCACATATTTACCAAGGGTGCCAATATTAGTGTATTACTCATAAAGATTAATTTAAATATCTGTAGTGAATATAATTTATAATATGATATAATATGAATAAATATGATTTTACAAGTCATGGAAATTCAGTGGTCATAAGATGTGGGATTCAAACCTACAACTTTTCAGTTACCACCGCAGATCGGTAACCTCTAGGCCGTATCACTCACGTTTAAAGCTTTGTTGCATGATAAAACAGCTAGAGTTAAAAAAAACAGTTAAAAAAATCCAAAGCCGTCAGTTTACGTCATGCTCTCATTCTAAATGACGCGACCACATCTATACGAACTCAAAGAGTTCTGCTGACATCGATTTCTCACACGTTTCTCTTATTTCATCACATTATTCCATTCCAGCAGGGCTTCAGAACTGAAACACACAACACTGTCATGGGAATTCATCCCTGCAGGCCATGACAGCAGGTCTAACCCGTAAACATCAATACAGCACGCAGAAATACTCTGCAAGCGATTCTATCAAACGGCACACAGTTATTTTTTCCCGCCTCTGAACTGGGCTTTTTTTCTCCGGATTAGCGGCATGGATTTGTAGGCTTCGCCTTCTATTCCTCCCGTGCAGAATTGAATTGTAGAATTCTGCATAATTTGATAACAGACAGTCGAATCTGGGCGTCCCACACACGCCCACACGTTGATTTACTACTACCTCCTGTACAATCATGCACTGCACCTGCAATTAAATGGGAGTAATTAAGCCCTCGTGCAGGAAAAGGGTGTTACTCATTTGGTCTTGTAGATACATGGATGGACGGATGGATGGATTTGGGTTTAGCGTGAAGGATGCGCTCTGTGTGATTGATGACGGCTGTCGCTGGGGGTAATTTTTGTTGTGCTGAGTATCGTTCTCGGTGCTTGGTAAAGCGTGTCCCACCCTTAATAGGAGGTAATAAAGTTTGTAAGGGCTGATTATGCTTCGCTGTGATGAAACTCAAAGCGACACGTCTTTGTGTGTGTTTTTTTAAGTCACGTGAAGATGCAGGTTGTGACTATGATCTCTGCGGTGAAGGCGATTCGTCAGGCTTTAGCTGAAAAACTCATCAATAGTCCAAACGGGCGCATTGATAATTTACTGATCTCAAATCTGTGCTCCAGTTTCTTGCTCTAATTTGCTTTAATACAATGATTTCATGATTGTCCCCATGGTTACTAGATTAAAATAAATTAGTATACTGAAACATACAGCCATTAGTCTTTATTTCATTAATGCGGCATATATTTACCCTATAACATTTGCGAGACATTTAACTGCTGCTGTCATTTTTAATATTTGTGGTTTAGATCCGCTGTGTGCGGTGGCGTTTTTCGCTCATGTTTATATTCTGCAGAGCCAGAGTGATTATGCGTTCATATACCTTGGTTATTACGGGACGTACCCGGCATATTGTGAGAAGGGCAGACGGGCAGACCTGAATGCCGTGGCATTTCTGCCAGTTTAATGTCAATTACCCAGCAGGTCTCCTGAAGGCCTGTGCAGACACTTACTGCTTTTTTTGTTTATTATGACAAAGAAGTACAGTAATACCCAGAGTTGGAGGCATAAACTAGAAGATCTTAGTTTATTAGTTTTGCATAGCAAAACTTTTGAATATCTGTCCGCAGATATTCAAATATATATATATATGTCAATATGGGGTGCTGTGTGTACATTGAGGAAAAAAAATTAACTTAAATGATTTTAGCAAATGGCTGCAATATAACAAAGAGTGAAAAATTTAAGGGGGTCTGAATACTTTCCGTACCCACTGTGTATATATATACACACACACACATAACGTTGAATCTAATCTACTATATAGTATTTATTATTATATCCCTGATTACATCCATAACGTAATATGAAATAGTATAATTAATATTGTTATATTAATAATCTATTTAAAGTGGAAAAATAAAAATATTAAAGTTACTTTTCATATTATGAAAGTAATCTCATTGATTAATCTCATTGATTAATCTCATGATACCAGTGTTTAGAAAGCAGAATCATATGGCAATTCCAGTAAATGCTAATGGTTTATTTATTTTTATTTTTTTCTAAATTTTATTTATCCATTTATTTATACTTGTACTTTATAATTTTTGAATTCCCTTCACTGAAAAGTTTTACCATTGAATTGATGTTTGTGTTAGCGGATGGCCAAATTAGCAGGCGTTGCTTTGATATTAAAACCTCATATTTGATGGCATTAACATTTACTTACCTGTCTCTCAGTTCTCCTCTTTTGTCTGTTTTTCAGATCGAGACCGGTTTCAGCTTGGCACACTCTCTCATACACTCAATTCTCAGGCCAGTGGATACCTGGAGCTTTCTGATTGGCCGGCTGTCGCTCCTGACCAATCAGTGAGAAATGTGGAGGTAGTAGAACCAGTAAGACTCCCTTGTATTTTTTATTTTTTTTAAAGATAAAGTTAAAAATGTCTTATATCTATAAACTTAAATGGCCTTAGCGTATGGTTCATTCACAGGACAGTGATGTTACCAAGTCTCAAATTATTCCTCATTTCCTGTTTATGTGTGACTCTGGCAGGTGAAAGAGGCTGGAGCACCGGCACTTAGTAAATCCAAACCTGCCAAATCAAATGAGAAGTTCTACTCTGATTCAGAGGAAGAAGAGGGGGAGGAGGAAGAGGGAAGCAATAGTGAAGACAGTAGCAGCAGCAGCAGTGAAGGTAAAACATGAGCTTTGGCTTGGTTTGTGTTTTGGCAAATTTGAGGCTTGTCTTAACCTGTTTTTGTGTCCATGTAGAATCAGTAAGGGAGTCTGAGAGCGAGGAGAACAGCAATGATTCAAACAAGAGCAGCTCCAGCCAATCGGAGAAGAGCTCCAGTGAATCAGACTCCGAAAAGAAGAAGAAAACTCTAAAAAACAAAAAACTACAACAGCAGAAACCGGACAGCAAAGACAGGTAATGTCTCAGTGTAAATGACCTTATTTAAATTAACCAATCATGACCTTGCTCTGTATCCCACTGACCAATCACATTCAATCTTTCAAAATAAATTCCCTGCAGTTTTTAAATGCTGACATATTTAAACTGCTAATTTAAATATGCAGTTTTTTAAATATGCATCACATATATTTTCATGAAGATATTTAGCAGCACAACTGTCTTCAACATTGATAAAAATAAGAAATGTTTCTTGAGCACCAAATCAGCATATTAGAATGATTTCTGGAGGGTCATGTGACACTGAAGACTGGAGTAACGATGCTGAAAATTCATATTTGCATCACAGGAATAAATTATATTCAAATAGAAACCACTTTATTTTGAATTGTAATAATATTTCACAATATTACTGTTTTACTGTATATTTGATCAAATAAATGCAGTCCTCATGTGCAGAAGAGACTACATTTAAAAACATTCAAAAGTCTTACCAACACCAAACTTTTCAACTGCATTGTATTTTAGAAATCACCCATTCATATTTATGTCGGACCCAGCATTCTTCATTTAAATAGATGCATGCATAACATAGGCATAAACCTTCATTAGAGGTCATGCATGTTTGCTAAACACCCATTGAACTCTACTGACAAAGTAAGTGGTCTGAATTCCAGCGCTTTATACTTGCATCACATGCTATTGCTATTTTGAAGTGTTTATGTGCCATAAATATATAGACAGATGGTATGTGAGATTGACTTTGGTCATTATAACCGCATATATGGGTGTGTTTTGCTGAAGTGTGTGCACAAGTGGATGCACAATGTACAACTTTGGTTTTTGATATGTGCAAGAGGTAAATAATGTGTGTGTTCAGTGTGTGTGTTTGTGTGATTGTGTATGCTGCAGCATAAAACGACTAATAAAATGTGGCACCAATAATTTCCCCCTCCATCTGTTCATATGCACACATACAGTCACACACACTCTCTTTCTCTCGCTCGCACACACGCCAGGCCGCCTCAACAATAAGGATTTTATTCTCACTAATTTTAAATCTCACTAAGTTTCAAAATACAAAGATATCTGTGAATTGAGTAGCTGTAATGCAACTTAGTAATAGCTGTAAGTTCATAAATGCACATTTTGTTTTAAGAATCAATGGCATCCAATGCAAGTATTTTATTGATCAATGAACCCATTTTTACAGATGCTTCCAAAGTTATCAAAAGTCCCTTTTGCAATTTTGCTAACATTAGTAAAAAGTGTAAAATCAGCAGAATATGTTTAGTTCATCACATAACCCTAAATGTTTACATTTGCAAGGCATAAAAACACACAAACATGATGACTTTCTCTATCCAGTCCACACACAGAGTTTGCACTGTTAATTGTTGTGATGTAACGTTTCTGTAGTTGATCCTGCTGCCTTTATTAGAAGCGGTAATTAAACCGCTAATAGACACATACACGTGTGTGTGTGTGTGTGTATGTGATACACTCTTTGCCTGTTTTGCTTGCTGTTCTGTCATTATTGTGCATGATTTAAGGCTCTCGCCCACATCCTTAACTACCGTGAAATGCTCTCATTAATACATACTCACAACCTGCATTAATGCTGCCGTTGAACTGTGCACACTTCAGTTAGATGGCCTGTGTGTGTGTGTGTGTATCACTTGTTCTGAGCAAATGAAATCCAAAGGCCAAATTAATCCATCTAATCATCTCACAATTAAACAGACATTGTTCCCTCTGCTAATTTAGCCAGCCTTTTCTCTTTTGCTCTCTCTCTACCAAACTACGTCCCTTTTGATGTTTGAATATTGAAATGTTCTTTAGTAATGTCTAGTTGTTTTTTAGGTTGTCAAAAAATGGCCCAGGAATAAAGATTTAAACATGTTTTTACATAATTGATTGTAGTGTTTAGTACATAAGAAACTCTTAAAGGGAAGGCTATAAATGAAATTTAGGAGTGAAGTGTGTTTACTGGATGTAGGTTGATTTTGCAGTTATTAATTTGGCTAGTAAACTCAAATAGTTCAGTTGTTTCTGTGTCTGTGTGTGCCTAAAACAGGAAGCAGAAGAATGGGAATGCTGTAAAGGTTGAATCCAGATCTGAAAGTGAATCAGGCTCTGAGAGTTCCTCGTCTGAGAGTTCGTCTGAATCCAGATCAGAATTGGATTCAGATTCAGACTCAGGAACTGATCAAAAGAAAAACACAAAGCCTAAACCTGTCCAGTCTAAACCAGTCATAAAGGTGAGAAGTACGATACTAGAGTCATACTAATAATAGAGTACAAACACAGTGTGAAGTTTTGCTGCATATTATTCTGTGTGTGTAACATCTGGCATCAATGTTTCTTTTCAGCAGGTTGAGAAGAAGGAAGTGTCTCTTCTTGATCTGGATGACTGTGAGTTGAGTTTCTTTCAATTTTGCAGTTTTCATTTTGTTATGATTTTGGTTTTATTGTTTTGTGATTTATAATGGCTCTTTTCCAAACCCCAGTGACCTGCCAGTTTGGTTTGGTTCATGGCTTATACCTCTTAAACGATGACTTTTTGTAAAATCAGTTTGGGAAAAATTAATTGGATTAATGCTTCCAGAACCAAAGCTACTTAAAAATCATTCTAGAATGCTCTAATAACGCAAAATACACACAAAAATTAAGTGAAATAGTTTGTGCTTTAATTAGATTAGATACTTTTCAGTGTTGAAATATAAGTGTATATGTAATCATATATAAATATTAATTTTGCTTGCTCACCAGTGACGGATACATATGATGACACCTTAACATTTAGACAAAGTTATGTACCTTATATTCATTTTCTGTTCAGATTTTTGCAGGGAAATCTGCAGAATGCAGTTAAAACGAATAAAATGTGTTAAACAAAACAGGCGGCAGTTAAAGCTATTAAGTCGGCGATAACAAAAAGCAAATCAAATGGTTCAGAAATGGTTTGGAACAGCTTTAGATGCTTTAATATGCTGTCTAGTTAGGCAGCTCACTAGATTTTGGAACAGGACCAATGAATGTATCAATACATATATGTGACCCTGGACCACAAAACCAGTCTTAAGTCACTGGGGTATATTTGTAGCAATAGCCAAAAATACATTGTATGGGTCAAAATTATCAATTTTTCTTTTATGCCAAAAATCATTAGGACATTAAGTAAAGATCATGTTCCATAAAGATATTTTGTAAATGTCCTACTTTAAATATATCAAAACTTAATTATTTATTAGTAATATGCGTTTCTAAGAACTTAATTTGGACAACATTAAAGGTGATTTTCTCAATAATTAGATTTTTTTGCACCCTTAGATTCCAGATTTTCAAATTGTTGTATCTCGGCCAAATATTGTCCTATCCTAACAAACCATACATCAATGGAAAGCTTATTTATTCAGATTTGAGATGGTGTATAAATCTCAATTTCCAAAAATGTACCCCTTATGACTGGTTTTGTGGATAAGGGTCACATATGGGTTTTAATGCTGTTGTTATTGTTTTGTTTGACAGTCTCGCCCGCGCCGGTCACTACACCCAAAAGCTCCATCCTGTCACCTAATCTGCTGTCAGACCTGCAAGGGCTCTTGATCTCACCCACCGCATCTGCCTTACAGGTAGGTGTGTGTGTTCATTTGACTGTTGATGTTATAATAAGGCTATCTAGAATACTATGAGTTGAGTCGATTGTATAAAATGACTGCTAAACTATATATTTAGCTATATATTGATACTTTTTGGGTTTACTTTGTGCTAATGTCCGGCTGACTGTACATTATCCTGTAGAAGCCTCTTCCTTTTTATCATTTCCTCTCCAGTCTTTTGTTTGTGTCCATCTAGAAGTCTTCTATGTTCTTTGTTTCTTTGTGCTGTTGTATTATAGATTGGTTTTTCATTGTCTTCCCTCTTTCTTCTCCTCCTGTGTGTGTCCAGCATGTGTGTGTGTTGTCAGCGTATGTGATTGTTGACCTTTTGCAGTATGACGGCTCCTTCCTCTCCCGTGAGAGTCCTGTGTCAGGGAGAGAAGGGATGTCAAGAGAGAGAGAGAGAGGGAGAGATGTCAGTAAGAGATGAATGAAGCATGTGTGGTCATTTCTTCTCAAATACTATCTGTGTCTGCCTCTTTTAGGATTGACACATGAACTATAATATCCCAGCGGCCCACAGACACCCCCCGACAATAACACACACACACTATACACACACGTTTATAGACCTGCACTGCTGTCATGTTTCAACCAAAAGATTCTTAGTGGGGTCTGGACCTTGATCTTAGTGTTTGTAATATTTTGTGGTGTTTTTAAGCTTGCGTATGTTTGTAAAGACATTGCTAACATTGCATAGATAGCGATATTTTGTGTTGAAAGAAGAATTGAATACATTTTTACATAGTAAGCACAAGCAAAAGTTAATAAATGCTAACACTGAGTAACTGGCATTTCAGATACAATATAGCTAGCAACACTACCGCTCAAATGCTTGGTGACATTAAGTAAAGAAGTCTTTTATGCTTCTCTAGGTTGAACTATGATTGCTGATAACACACGATCCTTGATATCCCTTAGTCTGCGAAAACTTTTAAACTTCCTATAGGTTCCAACCTCCATCTGTCAGAATTGCTATTCTCCTCCTGCCAATCACTGCAGGGTTGCCCCGGTGACCTGTATCGGCGCGTTGGGCGGGTGTCAGCGCCGCTGCTTTGATTGACAGGCTCGTCAGGCCCGGGCCGCTGCGCAGCTAGAAGCTGTTAGGCACAGGTCATTAGAATACTACCCACGAGCCTCGGCGGGCAGGCTAATCAGAGCTGAAATAAAGGGTGAGATTGAGAGAAAGAGAAAGGGCTTATTTAAAGTCAATGCTATGCATAAATACATTACAGGCCGCTATAATCTTAGTCACGGTGGATAAACCTCATCTCTCTCTCTCGCACATACATGCATTCAAACGCGGGCATTCATTATAGCGTGTCACGTCACACAGCTGGTCTTTCTCAGCCGCGTGCATGCAGATGTATGAAAATATATTCATATGACACGGCTGTGTGTGTGTGTGTGTGACTTTGGCCGGCACGGGTACCGATGAAATAACGGTGTGTGAAATAGAGAGACACTCCGATGCATTCTGGGATGGTTAGCAGCGGTATTTAGCCGATCTGGGGTCAGCGTGCGAACTATCTGCCTCGGCTCCTCTCGTTTCTAATAACATTTTGACGTGCGGATCTGCTCTGAAATACTGTTTAAGCGTGCGCCGGGGGAGCCGGCTGATAACTTTTCATTCATAATTAGCGTGGGGCGAATGGGGGCTGAACGCGGGGCGTCGGAGGGAAATTGAACTGTCAGTGTAGGGCGAGCGGGGGGCGAACGAGGGCGAGCGCGGGCTGAGTGCAGGGTGGGGGGCGTTTGACCCCATCACAATCTGGGGGCCGCGTCATAATTTGTTCATTTTGTGCCCATCAGCCAGCCGGCGTTGCCGCGGTGACCCCGTTCTTCTCGGAGCACGCTCAGTGCCGTCCTCATTATGACTCAGCAGTAAAGTAGAAACGCACGTGTAGACGCCGACTCGCGCTGTCAATCACATGTGCTTTACATTGGACATGTTTAGCTTGGTTTTTTGTGCACTATAAGACATTTGGTTGTGTGTTTGAAGTACATGGTTTAGTGTTTCCCACAGGATTTTGTGAGAATATGGTTGGGTGGATCTTCTTGGGGGGTCCATGGGTATGATTTATATAAATATATATTTAAATATATATTTAAGTATATGTATATACAGTGGGGCAAAAAAGTATTTAGTCAGCCACCAATTGTGCAAGTTCTCCCACTTAAAAAGATGAGAGATGCCTGTAATTTTCATCATAGGTATACCTCAACTATGAGAGACAAAATTAGAAAGAAAATATATTTTCCACCATAATTTGCAAATAAATTATTTAAAAATCCTACAGTGTGATTTTCTGGATTTTTTTTTTTCTAATTTTGTCTCTCATAGTTGAAGTATACCTTTGAGGAAAATTACAGGCCTCTCTCATCTTTTTAAGTGGGAGAACTTGCACAATTGGTGGCTGACTAAATACTTTTTTCCCCCACTGTGTATATATATATATATATATATATATGTATAATTATTATTTTTTTTTGTTAAATGCATCAATATGGTGGACTTTGAGACCAAAATTAAGAGTGTCAACCCCTTTGCAGTGACCAAACTGAACAGAATTAAACAAACTCTTACAACAAACATTGGCGTTGATCTAGACTTTAAAGTGGACTCAAAAAAGGGTTATTATGGTTAACTTAAACTAAAAGTATAAAAAATAAGTGAATAAAATATATATATAAGAAAACAGGGTTTTTTTCAGCTAGTTGCCAAAGCAACATTTGTCTTTTTTATTTAGTTTATCATGATGTATTAAATAACTGAAACTAAAACTGAAATAAAAATTAATATAAAGCTATATAGACACATTTAAAAAACAACAACTAATTAAAGGGTTAGTTCACCCCAAAATGAAAATTCTGTCATTAATTACTCACCCTCATGTTGTTCCAAACCCGTAAGACCTTCGTTCATCTTCGGAACACAAATTAAGATATTTCTGATGGAATCTGAGAGCTCTCTGACCCTCCCATAGACAGCAACACAACTGAAATGTTCCCAGGTCCAGAAACGTTGTAAGGACATCGGTAAAACGGTCCATGTGACATCGGTGGCTCAACTTCAATTTTGCGAAGCTACGAGAATACTTTTTGTGCGCAAAGAAAACAAAATTACGTCTTTATTCAACAATTCTTCTCCCCCGAGTTACTGTCTTCCGCCCTTTTGGAGAGTATCACAACACATATGCAACCTTTACCCTAAGTGTAAACAATGCTGATTACGGCGATTACGTTCATGCGCGTGCTTTCCCCCCTAATGTAAACAATGGCGATTACGTTCTTGTGTACTCTCCAAAATGGCAGAAGACGTAACTCGGGGGACAAGAATTGTTATTTTTGTTTTCTTTGCGCACAAAAAGTATTCTCGTAGCTTCGCAAAATTGAAGTTCAGCCACTGATGTCACATGGACTGTTTTACCGATGTCATTGCTACGTTTCTGTCTGGGAACATTTCAATTGCGTTGCTGTCTATGGGAGGGTCAGAGAGCTCAGATTTCATCAAAAATATCTTAATTTGTGTTCCGAAGATGAATGATCGTCATACGGGTTTTGAACGACATGAGGGTAAGTAATGACAGAATGTTCATTTTGGGATGAACTAACTCTTTAACATGACAAAAATACACAACAAAATAACTAAACTGCATTTAAAATTAAAACAAAATATAAAAATATCTCAAAATTCAAAATAGGAATATAAACTGCTAAAATCACACACTCAACCCCCTTTTTAGTTGTGATAGTGTTTCAATCCACATCACAGTCACACTGATGGGTTTAGGAAGACAAACAATTTGAATATAATAATAATATTAATTGTAATATTGTAATACAGTATTGTATACATCTTTATGTATACATAATTATTGTAATACATCTACACTGTAAAATAAAGTGAATATTCCATGATTTATTTTTAAAGTGAACCTGGTATGTTTCATTCCTAAATGAATTTTAAGCACATGGAGTTTGCCGTATTTACTGTGAATCGAGTTGCTTTGAGATGCTAAAAGCACCGGATCATGAGCTGCTCATGTGTAAATGAGCACAGTGATGCGCTTCGATCTGAAACACCCAACAGGCTAAATACTTGTTTAATTCAGTCTCAGTCTTTTGAGATTTGAAAAGCGTACTGAGCCATATTGTAATTTCAATTTTAGTTCTTTTGACTGATCCGTTAAAACAATAATGTGCAGTATGTGGAAAATAATGTTTTTTTTTTACTTTAAACAGCATAAACACATACACCAAATACACAAAATAATGTTCTTTTTAGCAGCATCATATGACCCCTTTAAATGGATTAGATTAGAATAGATTTGTCCCCCCCCCCCCCCCCAAAAAAATGCCACAAAACACAATGTTAGATGTTTGCTCTTGTACACAGAGTTTCGCAACACAAAAGAAACTCACTCAGATTCCTTTACATTTATTTCACAGCCTTCAATATTAATCACGTTGACTTTTAACATCTGACAGGATCGATGTGCTCACACACCTCGCCAAATGAAATTTTTCTCTTACGGACAGTCTCATAAACAAATGAATTAGATTTCAAACAGCAATAGAAAATAGATTTTTAATTCTGTCTGCTATATGTCCTCCCGTCCTCCGTTTATCCTTCTTTTCCCTCCTCTCGTTTCTTTCTCTCTCTCCCTCTTTATCCTGGCCAGCGGATGGGTTTTGTATCTGTCAGCAGAATTTGGCGGCAGCTGGACAGAGAGGATGCTGGGATATGTGAAGGTGACTAGAGCGAGTTGTCATCCATCACTGAGGTTTCCTTTAAGCTCATCCATAATAGAGCCCCTCAATCAAGCTCCCCTTCACACAGGAGATGTGTCCGAGCATGTGTGTGGGACGCTGCGGTCAAGGTTACTCTTTTCTTTCGGTTATTTACTCTTCCACCACCCAGCGTAGTTGACGACTTTATAGGACGCGAAGTGTGTGTGTTATATTGGTGA